CACATGGACACATACGCACACGTACACGCTCAACACACACACACAGAGGGGGGGTTCATGCTGGGGGTGTCTGCCCCCCCCCTTCCTTTTCCCTTCCCCGTGGCACAAACAGACACACACACACACACACATGCGTAAAAACAATCGGGGGTGGTGGTGTTTGCTGGGGAAGTGTTGGGGGGTTGAAGGAGGAGGGGGGGGGGGGGACATTTTATATTTTTTTAGTTTACTCGCATGGGGGTGCTGGGCCACACACCAGAGCCCCCGTGGACCTTGTCCGTTGAAAAACAAACTGTGGGAGGGCCCCCGTTTTTGATTCAATGGGAATTCAACAGGAGTTCAATGGGGTTGTGGGGGAATTAAACAGCTTTCAACGGCCGTTTAATTCCTCGGCCCGCGTTGAACATGTTACTCAGACCGGCACCTCTAAAGCTGCAGTGAAAGATATATTTTTGCAACGAAACTTGGGCCCCACCAACATTTTAGCTGTGAAACCACCACGACACACTGTTTTTGAAACTTACCCTTCTCCTGTTCACAAAAAAAGAAATCATATGTAAAAGTAAAACACAGGCCATGTTGGCGAAGATTTTACGACGGCCTGTGGAGTAATGGAAGTCTCCAAAGTTGACTTGCGTTTAACCACCTTTAGCTTATTTATCCTTGCGAACATTATAATCTGCCGTGGTTTCCTATATTTTTTTCCAACTCTGCGGCGAGCCGCATGGAACATCCGGCAGATGCATACACTCTCCCTGTTTTGTGGTGAGGGAAGGTGGGGGAACGGAGGAGGTAGGGGGAAAGGACGGGTCTGTATGTCTCTTTGAAGTGTCTGTACAAGCATGGGGCATGAGTGTTGGGAGGGCTTGCTGAAAGAGCACATGGCCTATCACAACAAGTGCAAGTATGTGATGCTTGACTACTACCTGATTCGACCAGCAACTTCATGCTGGCTTACCATGGCGGAATATTCATTTGCAAGCGAAGAGACTGAAAACAAAATTGAACAAATGTATTGAACGAGAAGATTGATCATGATGCTAAAATTGCAGCTTAATGAGAAAAAGACTGAATACTCGTCGATAACATCAGGCTTTTCGCTTCTAGCGTATGGCTAGCGGGACTCGAACGCACAAGGCGCGAAGCGCCACCGCATCCTAAGCGCCCAGAGTCCACAGATAGGCTTAGTAGGATTTGAGCCTACAATATCTTTTTTTTTTCTTTTTTTTTGAAATTTCACCTGTCACTATCTACCTACCACTACTCCTAAGCCTATACAGTGGACCCCTGCAAGCATAGCTGCAATTAAGGGGATTCATGTTGCCCCCCGCCCTAATCGAGGTGGTCAGGGACGGCTAACACAAAGACCGAGCATAACATCAGGCTTTTCGCTTCTAGAGTATGGCTAGCGGGACTCGAACCAACAAGGCGCGAAGCGCCACCGCATCCTAAGCGCCCAGAATCCACAGATAGGCTTAGTAGGATTTGAGCCTACAATATCTTTTTTTTTTTTTTTTTTTTGAAATTTCACCTTTCACTATCTACCTACCACTACTCGTAAGCCTATACAGTGGACCCCTGCAAGCATAGCTGCAATTAAGGGGATTCATGTTGCCCCCCGCCCTAATCGAGGTGGTCAGGGCTGGCTAACACAAAGACCGAGCATTTCGCCATTAGCTGCACTTCCCATCTACTTCCCTCACCCCACATCCAGTAGCAGTAGAGGCTGTGGCCAACACTTTCCCGCACGCCAACACAACCCTCTCACGCTCACACTCACATCCGTGTTGGTCATAGACCCTGCAAATACCGATCAGGGGTATCAAGCGGACTATCACAGCCAGTTGGCACTAAGTGCTGCACGTGGTCATCTTCGATACGAGCTTTGAGTCTGAACCAATAAAACTATAAGCCCAGGAACTTGCTTCGGAAACAACAAAACTAACTCAAGGGTGGTACCCATAAGGCCAGGATTTTCCGGCCATCTTTTATGGGTACGTAATTTCATTAAAACACGAAGAGAGTCAAGAGTCGAGCCTAGACGGTTGTAACAATTGCTCTCTGAACCGTGCGAGATGGTCCCCCATCACATGGCTCTCCAGTTCAAGTTGCCTTGTTATTATATATATAAATCAATAAGCAATCAATGAATACTCTCCTTATCCCCACACTCTGTCCTCTCAATCTAGCCTGTGTCTCTGCTGTAACTGGTTTGAGCTCCAACTGTGGTGGCTACAGTGAGTCAATATTGTCCAAGGAAGGTGGAGTATGGGGGGGCACTGAAAAGTTCATAAAAAAATTCAAAGGAATCGCCTATCGCCCTCAATGCCAACTTCCTGAAGTGCCCGTTCCATATCCTCTGATGTTACGAATGGCTCTTGTGTCCTCCTCTACCCTGAACACTTTCACAGAGCTTCTCAGTGCCAGCTATGGCACCCTCTCTCCTTGATGTTCTCTTGGCACCTTCTCTCCTTGATGCTCATATGGCACCCTCTCTCCTTGATTCTCTCCCTCCGCGGGTGCGTGTGGGTCCTTATAGTGACCTCCTCATCGGCTCTTGGACAGTTGCCCTGAATCAGAACTCCTGGAATGAGTGAATGGGCAAGCTTCCCTCACCTGGGTATATGGGCAAGCTCCTGCTTATCTGGACATGCCTGCAGGTGAGCTGGGTGTGATCGTCCGAGGAGGAGCTGGCTATGGCACCCTCTCTCCTTGATGCTCTCCCTCCGGGGGTGCGTGTGCGTCCTTACAGTGACCTCCTCATGGGCTCTTTGTCAGTTGCCCTGAATCAGAACTCCTGGAATGAGTGAACGTGCAAGCTTCCCTCACTTGGGTATATGGGCAAGCTCCTTCCTGCTTACCTGGACATGCCTGCAGGTGAGCTGGGTGATCGTCCGAGGAGGCGCTGGCTATGAAATGTGGGTCTCACTCCTGCCATTACCACCAGCACCGACTCAGGTCAGGTTCTCAGGTATTCAGACCCTTGTGCCAGAGCTGGCCTGGTAAGCTCTAGCCTGAGCTAGTGGAGACTGGGAGGTTAGGGCAAGTCTTTTTTTTTTCTTGGGGGCGGGGGGTGGGGAAGGGCAATTTCTTGATATATGTGTGTCATCCTGGCGCAGGGGCCATGCTTGTCTTCTCTGTATCGTTCCAATTCTAACGGATGTCCCGAAGGACAGCTTAGGGCGACTCTTGTTGTCCGGGGCTTGCATTTCTCCTTAGCTCCTATTTTCCAGCCCTAGATGGATGCCGACCAAGCAGGGCGAACCTATCCAGACCCCTGTGCAATTTTTGGCACACCTTGAGGGTGTGAAAAGAACAGATTAAGTTTAGGAAATGCCATTGTCACGATTATAACGAGAGCTGCAGTTTCGTTTTTTTGACTAGTTGGTTGAGGTAAGTGACCTCAGACAATTCTGGTAAAAGTAAGAGGGTGATCAGCTGTATCTTTTTTTTTTTTTTTTTT